GACTCAGATGCTTACATATGGTAGTCCTTAATCTTATTTATGCTGTAAAAGTTATTTGTCCTAACACCAAAGACAGGAATTAATTTTTCTTTGAAGTCAGTTGAAATGAAAAATCATTATTCTGGGGACAGGGACCAGAAAATTGTTTCCAGTATACAGGAGCAATTAACATGGAATGTGAAAGAGAAGGTTAGTTTCACAGTAAGAGCAAATGACAAATATGGACTTCCTTTTTGGATCAAATTTTGTCTGATACAGAAGGACACAGAACACTCTTCTTTTAATGTGCGGAATACTCCATCATTATTGAAAACATTCTGTGAACTTGCAAGGCAGAAACAACATCTACAAGTAGTACAACATAGCAGGAACTCTTGACAGTGAGATCGGCATGAATGAATGGAGAGGGTAAATTGGACTTGACCGAGGCTTTCTTTTCCCTTCTTCCATGCAAATACTGTTTCTTTGAAGTAACGTTTGCGAAAGCAATTCAAAGCTCAGCTATGTGTACACAGCACCGTTATTTATTTACAGCAACTTTTGTTGCAATAAAGAAGACCTTTTACCTTGATACAGAGCTTTTAATCTTCAAAGCATTCTCACAGATACATTCTAGCTAATCTGAACACCCCCTAACACAGTTAAGGTTGATTACCATCACGATTCTGACTTCAGGAGGGACAGGGTTTAAATTACTTATATGCATTAAAGTATTTGATGTCTGAAGAGGGATTAAAACTCAAGGGCCACTATGTCCTAATTGCCCACATCAGACCTTTTCTCAAGTTTGGTTTTCACTATTAAGAATTATCTTCTTATACACAGACTGTTTTCTATATTTACCTAAATTATATACTATTTTTGTAATTAAAGTGCTTCTTACACTAACAATAATGTGTTGGGGGTTGAATTGTTCCCTTTTCTTTCTGTGGGATTTCTCCCATTCTTATGCTAAGTATTTGTGGCTACACCTTAGTAGCAATAGTTTTCTCTCGCAGGGGGGTGGGTGGAGGGGGGGTGGGGGGGGACACCGGAAAAGGAAAGGTGGGACAGGGGGGTCTGGAGCGGGCTCTCGCTCTCGCTTCGCTCGCGGAGTGAAAGGAGGACGGCCAGTGCTCCGAGCTAGCATCCCCCCCTGTCATCCCAGCACTGAGATCCACGCTCCCTGCCATTGGACATCGCTCTGCTGCTCTCCCACCTCATCCTACTACCTCTGGACACTCTGCCAAGCACCACGACCGACACCGTGAGGGGGGAATCGCTCCCCCATCCCTCTCACCCCTGGGCCGCTGCCGCCATCACCCAGCCCTCTTCAACTGCGCGGGACCTGCCCTGCCCCCACAGCACCGGGAACTGAGCACAGGGAGAGAGGGCCTTGGCCAAAGGGACTGGAACTGAGCTATACTGTTCTGTTTTGTTGTCAATTTTTATAGCTGTTGTTGTTTTCTGCTGTTTTGTCTTGTTAAATATCAGTAAGGAACTGTTATTCCTATCCCCATATCTCCTGCCTGAAAGCCTGTGATTTGAAACTAAAATAACTAAAAGGGAGGGGGTTGCACTCTGCATCTCAGGAAAGGGGTTCTCACCTTTCCTTAGAAAATACCTGTCTTTCAAACCGAGACATAGTAATAATAAATTTCTGTTTATTTGATCAATGTTTCCAAGCTCTATCAGCCCTATGACCAACTTTTATAATAGTTGTGAGGCACTTAAATTGTCAGGTCTTCCCAGACTTCTAAGGACTCACAGGGTTTTTAGGTATTGACTACACGTAGACTTCCCCAAAAATTCCCATGAGACAAAAAAAAAATTAAAAATTTAAGAAAAATTTAAAATTTTTTTAAAAATTTAAGTTTGAAAGGCATTTATCTGATATATAAATTACTTACTTTCATCTAAAGGTTCTTTTGTATTTTTTGAATGGTGTAAATCAAAGCAGAGAGATTCCAAGTAATTGTGCACTTATTTTATTATTGAAAAAATATTCCTGTTCCTGTTTATTCAGATAAATGGATTTACAGTTCATCATTTAGAATATGAAGTACAAAGTACAATCTCTGGGAAAATACAAAGCTATCACTTTATTTTAAGGTGTTCTTTTCTGTAATGTCATAAATGGAATTGTGAACTGAAATTGCAACCTCTCTAGTAATCCTGTAACAGGTATCTTTTTAATAGTTTATGTTCATTGTGTTTTCTGGAACATTTTGGTTTTGTTGAGATGGTGTTCAATTACCTGCTTCCAAATTCAAATGGCTGCTGTAGAAAGCTGACTACTCACAATGATAAGGGTAGTGTCAAAGATTTCTGGATTGAAGTTTCCTGATGAACAGTCACTAAACTGGATTCCAATCCTGTAACAGTATTTTAATTTTAAGCTATTCAAAACTGAGATATCAAAAGCATATTGTATACAGAAATGAAAGCATTTAAAATGTTCATTTCACAAAGTACTGCTTCTTATAGCAGTGCTGATTTAACTGATCAGTTAAATAAATTTGAAGGCTTAAATACATGTATGCCTTAATCTAGGTTCTAAGATAAGAAATTGGAACTCACTAATTTTTGATAAACACTTCACTTGAAGACATGCAAAATTCCACGTTGATATAGGTTTTCCTACTAGTAAACTGCTAAACTAAAATTCACATGGTATTAAATGTGAAAAAGTACTTCAAGAGTGCAGTTTTTTAGCTCTTTTTCTGATTCTGATTCTAAACTGTCCATCCATTGTCTGGACTGTGCCAAAAGAGTTGTTTGAACCAGCCATCTTCAGAAACTCCATCTAATGAAGCTTCTTTTGAGCTTCCAGCTCAACATTTCTCCAAGTATCTATGTCATTAACAATCCATTGGAGCAGTCTTTTTGGCCTGCTGCTCAATGTTCAGATTTAATGTAGATATATGGGAAGCATTATGCAGAGCAATACTCCTACAAAACACACAAACCATCAGGGAGTCCACAGGAAGTTGGGCGTTTTAAAGACGAGTAAGAACCAGTTTTTAACGTCTAGTCCCTGAGAGTGCAAACAGTGAACACTTTCATACTATTTAAACAATATGAACTCTGATATTCAAAAATCAAGTATATTGTATGTAATTGTGGTCAAAGATCAATACTTCACCACAACTGACACAGCTTTTTATAAGCAATTCAGCAGAGGAGAACTGTAGGATTAAACAGAAAGAATTGCCAAGAATTATTAAAAGATTCTGTACACTAACAGCAGAACATATGCCTTCAACAGAACAAGAAATATATGGTAAATTTTAGTCATATTGTGGAATAATGGCTACACATTGAAGCCATAAAAGAAGTTAGCTACAACTTTACCTGAAAAACCATAACTTCAACTAAAGAAGTTAACATGTAGCATCACTCATGTCCTTCTTTCTCTCTTTATATCACGATTTTTCAAAGTAAATTTCTTACCAGTATGCTCTACATTCTGACCTGCAGTAAGAAGGTTTCAGCCTTGGTGGCAAACATACCAGCAGTGCATGAAGATTGATAGCAGACACCGAAGAGAGTGCTTAAAAAAGAAAAAAATGTTTAAAAAGTGTTTAAAGCTGCTTAGAGAGCACATTCCAGCTGAAGCATGAGTTCAGCACTAGCTGCTACTGCCTTAAATTACTGGGAATATCGGTTTCTTTTGGTATACAAAGAACAGCCTCAAGTTCTCTGCAGTTAAAATATAGGACATTATGTCCAGTGGCAAATCTGAGCCTGCATTTACTAGCAGATGTGTGACAGTTTTTTAACAGGCAGGTAGCACTGAGTGGCATATGAGAATAGCAAGTCTGGGTGGCCAAGGTGTCTCGAGTAGATAAAGTTGCTTTAAAGAAAGTAAGTCAAACACTTTCACAAGCAAGTACTTCCAACTAACAAGACAGTGGCTCTTTTTTAAAGCTATACATTTTATAAAATATATAAATATATCTAGATTTGTAAATACCTATAGAAACGAAATGTGTAAATTTATTAAAACTATTGATTCAAAACATACGATTATGGTATGGTGAAACAAATGTACCTAATGAATGGACTTGTAGTAACAAAAAAAAAACCAAAACAGGAAAATTTTAATATTAATATACAATAAAAGTGTTTATCTTTTTCTATCACTTGAAGCTCTATTTAGCAAGGAGAGCTGAACACCTGTAAACTTTCTATGTATGTGTACTTCAAAAATAACTATTTTTCTTTATTGCAAAGCATGCTCCAGTTTGTTTTCAGACATATTTTTGGATATTGAAAAGACAACCCTTAACTTGGAGCACATTAAAATTCTAAATTAATGGGATTTTTTTTTCTTTAAAACAAACCTCTTTTACTTAGCGAAAAATATTCTAAATTGGGAATTTTCATGCATAGTAGAGCTAGAATTTTGGTCTCATTTTGCCGTTTCTGGCACTCCAGGACTAGTTAGCACTTTGTCACTTCATGTCACTGTTTTATAGGATGCTTCTGGGATTTCTGTGGTGCAGTTTAACTCCACTTTCGTTGGCAAATTCAAAGATTTGAATGGGGAGGAAGTGAAATAAACCGCTGAGTTTCCAGGAATACGGAAAGGCGGTCTGACTGAAATACAGACCCTCTGAAAGTTAGGTTTTCAGAGAGACCGAGCTGGGGCTTGGCAATCTGAGCACACAGCTGCACCTTTAAGAAGTCCTATTTCAATCACCCCCACCGCAGCACCACTCCGGCTCCCCGCAGCGGCGGCTCCCAGAGTCGCAGGGCAGCGTGCAGGTCGGAAGGGTTAAGAAGCAAGCAAGACGGTCGCCCTGCTTGCGAGCCGAGCGGCATTAAGCACGGCCGGGCCGCCGTTCACCTCACGGTCCGGCAGGCCCGAGCCGGCCACGCTCCCCGGGCGCTCCCAGGCCCCGGCCCGCCGCTCCCCGGCCACAGCGCGGCCGGCTGCTGCCCCCTGGCGGCGGGGAGCGCCCTTGCCCGGCGGGCTGCGCGCGGCCCCCGCGGCGCCGCCCCGCCCTCTCGCCAGCATGGCCGCCGCCACCGCCTCCGTGCCCGTGAAGGTAAGCGCGCTTCCGCCCAGCCGCGCCTCAGGAGGGAGGAGGTGTCGTCCATCGCCGCTCGCAAACCCTCCCCGCCGCCGTCTCGCGGCGGCTGCGGGAGCGAGATGGCGCGGGCCGCGCCGCTGCCCTCCCGGCGCTGCCGAGCGCGTGCCGAGAGGCTCTGCCTTCCTTCCTTCCTTCCTCCTTCCCTCCCTCTCTCCTGCCCGCCGCGTCCTTCCCCGCTTCCTGCCGCCTTCCCACCCTGCTCCTGCGCCGCCTGTCGGGAGCGGGCCTGGGAGCGCGGCCGTGCCGCTGCGGTGGGCGGCGCCCGCCCGAGCGCTCCCCGGCCCCAGAGAGGCCCAGAGGCGCCCGCGGCCGTCCCGGAAGAGACGATATTCTTTTATTTTTAAATCCGGAGGAATCGGCTATTTCGGATGTCTGACCCGTGTGCGGTGTGTTGGGTTTGTCAGTGAGAGGGCTCTGTTTTTTAACGTGCACGGTACTCTAAGCTTTGGCAGAAGTGAAAAGTGGAAAACTTCCTCTCTTAAGGCTTGTCTTCTGTGTGAAGAGCTGCTCAGAGCAGTGATGGCACCAGGGATGAGCAGCCCAGTGCTCAGGCTGAAATTTTAGTTTTCACGAACTATGCATTATTTTTTTCTGTGGTGAAGTAGAAAAATCTCAATCGTTTTGGGTGTAGAAAACAGTTACAACCTGTCTTCAATGTTCAGATTTATTCTCTTAAGTGTAAATTATAGGCAGCTCGATGTTTATTTCCTTTTAAGCAAAATTATTTGTAATGCCATCCTTGCCCCTTTCTCAGTATCCCAAAACAGAAGAGAGGAACACAAAAGGGTTTGTTGGTGGTTAGTTGTCAAAAAGACCCATAGGTGATCGTAACATATATTAGTGTTTAAGACCCGCAGGTGAACAATTGTAGTCTGTTACTTCACTGATACCTCTATGCTTTCGGCTTAAACCTGCTTGGAGAAGTTCACCAAACACCAGGTGAAGAAAGGTATACACTTCAGTGTGATTGTTACTTGGACTTCCACAAAGAAATTGTAGAAATACAGCTGGAGAGCAGGGCTCAACTCGTGACTGGAGTGGATGTACTAGGTTTGGTAGGCCACAAGCCCTGGCAAGCTGAGGCAGAACCTTGAATGGAAAAACAAAAGGTGTGCTTTATTTAAGTTAAATCATGAAAGACCGTATCTGCCTGTGCTGGTCTGTACAGATCTGTGCAGAGCTCTGATTAAGTAATGTTATTTAGAAACACCAATTGTGTGGTTGTGCTATTTTTAGCTGTAGTTGAAAAGGTATATATTGATGTGTGAAATCAATAAATTGGCTTCATGCTTGCACCAAATGCGGGTTTTGTTTCTTCGTTATGCAAGTGGGGGTCCTGTCTCTTTTTTGGTCACCGTCAAATGGTGCCTTCGATGTGAGGAGGCAATCGCCAAGAAATGGGTTTGATTTTTGTAGTTACTGGTGTGATAACTTTTTGTTAGGTTTCACTTCTGTTGCTCTTCATCCCAGTGTTTGAGATTGTATCTACCATGCCATTTTACTTGAGATTTAATTCTAGATAACCTTCGGTACAGCCTCTGCTAACTTTTACAAGTTATATCCTTTGTGTCCCTTTGTAAGATACAAAGTCCTGACTGGAGAATACAGTCTTATATCTTTCCATTCTTGAGGTCATTCCTACATGTGAAGTCAGTCCTCTGGCTTTTGAGGAATCGTGGAGCCATTCTTCCTCTCTGTCACATCCTCTCTGTCTTCCCATGCATTCAGCACCTGAGCTGGTAGGTGGGAATAGAACTCAGCTCCCCTGACAGGGTGCTCTCCAGTTTAGTGTTCACACTGAAATCACTTCAAACCATTCATCTCCCCACCCCCTGCAGCAGAATGAGAGGAGAGTTGGAGGCATAAAAGGTGAAGATCATGGGTTGAAATAAGAACAATTTACTGAAAACAACAATGAGATAAGAAAACAAACAGTAACAGCAACTATATAATCAAGAGAGGTGAGCAGCTAATATGCAGCTTCTCACCACTATGCCGAGCCCAAAAATACCCAATTGTGATGCTGTCCTGACTCAGGCCCCCTTCCCCTGTTTCTGGAAAATGGTACAAAGTCACACAGAATAATCTCCAGGTCCAGATCTCCCAGGCTACTGCAAAAATTAATCCTGTCCAGAACCAGGACGTAGGGTGTCTCTCCCACTGAGACTAGAGCATCTGCGTTCATTTTGATAATTCACTAGAAGGTTTGGAAAGCAGAATTTAGTATAGGAGCAGATTTTTATGTCTAATTCCCAGATGCAGATAGTATTTCTGGAGATCATGTAAACTGGAGGGAAAATACTTGTCAGGTAAAATTAATTTTAGGGTCAGAGCTACCATCTCCAAGTTGTACATGACTGGAGAAGCAGCTACTTCAAAAATCTCTGCTGGCCTAACTTTCCTTCCACTGCAGTAGCTCTCCCGTGAACTGTAAGTGACCCCAACATTTCTCTAGCTAGTGTTGTCTCAAGTGGCCTGAGGGTTTTCCAGACTGCCACTTAGATAAGTTTGTAGTGGGTAAGAAGGCACTTATACATGCTTTGGGTTCTGCAACCTGGGAGCTGTGAATATTTTGCAAGCTCATTGCAGTCTTCCGTTTCTGACAGCGTGGTTATTGGTGTAAAAGCCTACACAGGAACTGAACAGTGCAGCCAAAGCACGTATCGATGCCGTTGCAGCAGCAGGGTTATGGAACCTGAGAACAAATTTGAGAGCAACTACATCAGGCCTATGCCGCCTCAGGCCAGGCGTGCTGCTTTCTATACAGGAACAGTCTGTTACTGTGATGGATCTGTGAGTTTATAATAACTTTAAATCATTGCCGTTATAAAATAACTTTCGTGTCCTGCCTCTGTAGCTGCTCTCTCCAGCATTGCACATTTTTCCTCAGTCCCAACAACGTTCACTTTGCTAGATGTAAAGGTTTAGTTACCTTTTGAATCATAAGTCACAGGGCGCTAGTAAAACAAGTGTTATATCCAGCTAAAACTAGTAAAGTTGCTGAAGGAACCTTTTTTCCCCCCCCGGATTGAAAATTTTAAAATGCACCATTTTGGTCCTGTCTTCTGTTAATGTAGCAATCATCACTGTTTACTGAGTGTATGCATGAACAGTGTTAAAGATAGTCTTTTGTTGATTTGGGGTTGTGTGATTGTTCCTGTTGCATGCCTTCCACGATTCTTGAGGCAATTTGTTATTCATCCTAAAGTACCTATAGTTTTCAAGATTTTTCAGGAGCAATCCAAGTCGGAACCTTTGTGATCACTATGCAACACGAATAATATGGGAACAGACCCATCAGTACTACTACAAACAATGATCTGGGTATTTCCTAAGGCTTGTGTGTGTATTCAGGGTCAGAGTATGTGAATTAGTACTGCTATTTTCCTGTGTACTTCTTCTCGTGCTCCACAGGAGGGTAGCAGAAGGAAGTAGGAGATGGGTTAAAACTATCTCATCTCTCAGCGTACAGCACTGGGTGTGGAGAGCTTTGTTAGAGAGGTGTTCATATGTAAAAAGACCACAGAGCCCCTGCTTGTTGAAAAGAAGTGCTTAATGACCTGCTAATAGAGTGATTGAACAGGTGGGGTCTCTACGAAAGTGAAAGTAAGAAAAAGCTAGAGTAAGAGGCAGTTCTTTGCGTGTTGTGGAAGGAGGGTGTTGTATGTTGAAGTCTGGAGGTTTTACTTGGGAAGTTTTCAGTCTTTGTGGTAATAAGTTACGTCAGAATGGTTCAGATTTTGTTCTTCCCTGGCAGGCAAATCAGTCATGATATATATTCAACTTGAAAGTGATACAAACTTTGCAACAATTGGTTACATGGAAGAAAAAAAAAAAAAGGAGGACTCGTTTTCCTCTGTGTATGATAAATGGTGACAGACATCACTTTTAAATACCATTACTAAGCTTTCAGTTGTGAAAAGCTTGACAGTAACAGTTCCGTCCAAAGAGTTACAAGTGTTCTGAACTCAAGAAAAAACTTGACTTAATTGAAAGCAAATTATCCCTAGAGAGAGAAAAGCCAAGTTACTTTTCGATTATGAACCAGAAACAAGACAAATCAGATGCATTTTTCTTATCTGGAATATGCAATCACAGGCAAATCAAAACACAACAGGGATCTCAATTGAGAAACCTCTTAGATTTTGTTGAGTCAACACAGAGGACTAATTTTTTTTCCAAAAAGTTATTTTGGAGGTATAATACCGTATAGAAATGCCTATGTCCTGGTTACAGCTATAGTAGAGTTAATTTTTCCTCAGGAGCTGTTCCACTACTGTGTTTTGGATTCAGAATGAGAATGGTGTTGATAACACACTGATGTTTTGAGTTTTGCTCAGTCATGTTAATCTTAAGTCAAGGAATTCTTTTTTCCCAGTCTCATGCTCTGCCAGAGAGGGGGTGGAGGAATATGCAAACAAAATCAGGGAGCATAGCTTGGACAGGTGACCTGAACTGATTGAAGGGCTATTCCACACCATGGGACATCATGCCCACTATATAAACTGAGGGAGTTACCCACAAGAGCAGCCAGTCTGGGTTTGAGAATGGGGGTCTGACATCAGTCCGAGCAGGGAGAGCAATTGTATTGTGCATCACTACTTATTCTCTTTTTTATCATCATTACTGTAATTTACCCTTATTACCATATTTTACTTTATTTTCAGTTATTAAACTTTGCTTATATCAACATACATGTTTTACTTCAATTCCACTCCCCATTCCACCAGAGTGCAGCCTGATATTCAGTATGGCGGTTATACATAAGACTTTTTGTCCAATTAACAAGAAGCCTTTTTAATGGGCTTTCTACGTGTATTTCTCACTCAATACAGGCATTTCCAAATAGCAGTCTTAATTTTTATATTGGAAATAAATGTTTAATGGCACATCTTTGTGGGGTTTTTTTTGTTTGGTTGGTTGGTTTGGTTTTGGGGTTTTTGGGGTTTTTTGGGGGGTTTTTTCGTTTGGTTTTTTTTTGGTTTTGTGGGGTTTTTTTGTTTTTTGTTTGTTTGTTTGTTTCTTGAAGAGGAGAATCATGGGATGAGAAATTGACAAGCTTAATACAGTTTAAAATCAGGTATTTGAAATTTGCATTCTGGAAAAGTGTGGTGGGCATATTATTGGGCATATTGTGCTTCGTTGATCTGTAGTCTAGTCTCATCTTGAGAAGAAGATAGATTTTGTTGCTGTCTGGTTAGTTTTTCATGCATGCTGTTGCATGTGAATTGCAAGAAGACTAATATGTACTTTCTGTGTAAGATCGGAATTATTGGTGGAACTGGCCTGGATGATCCGGATATCTTAGAAGGAAGGACAGAAAAATATGTTGACACTCCTTATGGCAAGGTCTGTATAACCTTTTTATTATTGCTGAAACTTTTTGCCAGTTTTCAAGATGTTTGCATGCTTTAAGAATTTTCAGACTGGTAAATGAATGTATAAAGGAGGTGCTGGCACAACTTTTTAGTTGCTATGTATTTGGTGAATCTTAGTTTGTAAAAACAAAGTATTATTGCAAAGATGATGTGCAAAGGAGACTATACCTCTTCTCATTTTTAGATTGAATGAATTCAGAAACTCACTGCTGAATTTACAGTCGAGGGACAAAGCCTCTCTTTCAAATTTTTTCTGGTGTGTGAGACCTGTATTATCTGTCAGATTGGTCCAGGAACCTTTCTGAATTGCAGAAATCTGTTCTTTGAGGTATATGAGACACTAATTTCCCTGTAACTAATGAATTGTGTTTTACATGCCAATGTCAGATTATGCTTATAGCCACACAATTTGAAAATTATTTGACAGTGAAGCTCTGAAACTGTTTTTGTGACGCTGGAACACCTGAACAATTCTCCTTTATGTTGCTTCTGTCCTTTTCCATAGCAGAGGAAAGGCTCCATACACAGCACTGGGTGTGTTTTGAAGGATAATTCCTGGCACAAAACATTTACAGTGCAAGCAGGCAAGACAAAGGATGAGGGAGTTTTATAGGCAGGAGAGCAAGGGGGAGAGATGTTCTAGTTGTCACATGAAGCTCATAGAAGAATTGGATCTTCGGTAATCATGTCGTAGGACGTGGGGAGTCTGGTGCTTTATAGTTGCCATTAGAATTATATCTTATACAGTCTACCACTGTATGCTGGTATACATACAAAAAAATCTTGTATCTGGTAACAAGTGCTGTTTTGTGACTGGAAGGTTGCCAGAAAACTCTGTGGTATGGTGTGTGATGCAACACTGAATTTATGCTTCCACTCCAAAGTGGTTTAAAATGGAGTGTAAAGAGCAAGAGTAGTTTGTATCCACACCATTCAGGAAGGAGAAGGAGGTAAATATTAAAGGAAGTGAAAACATAATTACTGAAGAATGCATTTGACTTTTCTATCATCTTTCAAAATTAGCAAATTGTAATAGACAGAAGGGAACCTCCTCTGTTTTCTGTACTCTGGTTTCCAAAAGTAACTAGCTTTGGTCTGAAGGCGAATTTACTGGCTAAACCAAACCAGTTGCCATTGCATTCGCAGTTTCAGGAGGGTTGTGGATGTTCATTACAGCATGGATGTGTTTGGAGACTGCTGACAAAGCAAAAGTAGTACCATGCTTGTAGCAGATATTAACTGAAGCTTTCCTGTCTAGGACAGATGGAACACTTCTCCCTCACAGAGTTCTGTTCAGATCAGTTAAGGGCACAGTGGCAGCACAGCATTTGAAGATCTGTTCTGTCACAGCACTAAGATGCCAGAGGATTTGGGGAATGCAAATTCTGCAGTGCAGTAAGTGGCCTACAGTAGGGTTCAGTATTCCTGAGAAGAGTAGGAGTATTTGCAGGATGGCTCCTGCACAACAGAGTGAAAAAATCTTCATCAGCCATGCACCTTTGGTCAGTATGGGAAGCTTTTTCACTTCGGTATTTGTTTAAACTAGTAAGTAGTTTATCTAGTGTATTTTTTTCTGTTTTCATCACAGAATGCAACACAAATAGCAGAAAATTAATGTTGGTGCCTGTTCTGGTTTATAAGAGACCTTGATCAATGGGCTATGTCTGAGCGTGTATATTACACATTTGGCATAGGGTGAACTTAAAAAAAAGAGCTCATGAATATTTTTTCTTGTGTGAGGGTGTCTCGGTTTGAAAGATAAATGTCTGCTAAGAAAGACAGGAGCCTCTCTTGAAATGGAAAATGTAAACGCCCTCCCTCCAAATTATAATTTTGAAATTAAGGGGCTCTCAGGCAAAGATATGGGAATAGGAATAACAGTTCTTTACTAGGAAAAATTAAAATAAAAATACAGTAATACAACAAAAAAA